TGTCAGCAGAACATTAAAAATACACCCACAACAGAATGGCTTCCACCTTGGCTCAAGATTTTTGCACAGTACAGTAAGTGCCAGTGCAAATGTAGGACTACCTAAACATATATATTAAAAACTTCAAGTAAACAAAAGCACAAATGACTATTGCTCTGAAAACTCTGATTTTAGTATTTAGTATTACATTCTATCATCACACTATATGGGTTTTAGTGACTCTGGCTGCTTAAAAGGGAGGAGAGTACATTGGTGGGATGACTGGAGCATGTGATCCAGTGATCCATGTGATCTGTACCAGTAATTTATTTGGCATAAATATGTTTATGTTTGATTCACAAAGCAGGAAATGAAGAAAAGAAAGGAGAAGTCAGATAGACTAGGACCTTCTGACCTACACATAACATCTGGCTCAACACACACACATACATTCAAAAATACAGGAACAAAAAAAATTAGGCCTCCAACTCTGTCCTACTTTTGGGTAAGCCTTTCCAGTTTTTTGCCCTCTTTATATCCCACAGGCCTTGGGACAGGAAGAGCAGAGAAATCCATTTTCTACATCAGACACTGGCTGAGAAAGACTGAGCAAATTGCTGAGCAGATCAGCAGTTTGTCTCTCAAGCCTGTGCATGCCCAAAACAAACATAAGTGATGGATGTCAGTTGCTCACGAGGTCAGCATGCTTAAAATGAATGCTAGCTGGACTGACGAGAAGAAAAAAAAAAAAAGTTCAACAATCACGCCCACTCCATGCAGTAATTGACCAATTGAGTGCAGGTCTGAAAGTAGGCCCTGGGAGCAAGGTTTAAACACTTTTGCCTTTAAAGCAGTCACTCAACGGATCCTCTGCATAGTTTTCAAGCCTACTCAACCCTCAACTCTGCAGCACTAGATGAGATTTTCCAAAATATCTCAGTAAAATAAAAAAGAATAGCTTGATTAAGGTCAGAAGACAGAAATTAGAGGCACTCCAGGCAGATGATTCAGCTTACAGACATTCCTTTACTGACAACAGCAGTAGTAGATTCCTACCACACACACACACACACACATACACACACACACACACACACACACACACATACACACACACACACACACAGATAAAGAACAATGAAATATAGCATCGCCTCACATCCCTTCACATTCCCTGGCCCGAAGCCAGGGCGGGACTTCACCAGGATTGCCCACGGTACAACTAACCAATTACAAATCCTCTGACAAAGCATGTGGTCTGCTTTAAGAAGCATGGCTCAGCTGCTCAATGCTACCCCATCTACAACAGAAAATGTCAACTCAGCAACTCGTTAACAAAAGAATCAACTCACCACCACATAACTCAATTAAAGTGTAATTTTTATCCCATTAAACTATTAAATGCTGTAAAAGTATCAACTGCAACGCACTAAATCACCCCAGATATCACAGTGTACTGTAGTTTTATAAAACAGGACAGTATAAGTTAATTCACAGTTTTTACTGTGTCGCAGTGCTGACCACGTTAATACATTATACTTCACTAGCAACCTTAACACTCTTCCTAAATACTATAAGCATAATTCACAGCTTGGCGACTATTCAGGACACCCAAGATCCATGTTATCAGTGTTATTCTCAGTAACTCATTAATTGATTACATGCACAGCACATGAGCATGGCTTCTAATTCAGGCAAAACAGGGGGTGGTGGTGTGAATTAAGCTCAACAGCTCATAAAGGAAAAGGAATATAATGCCCTAAGTAGCCTGGCATATGCCTGAAATTGCATCATTTGCTGTGGTGCTTTACAGTACATTGTTTTACATGTTGAGACCATTAAAGCCTCGACAATAGAAAGCAGGAGCATGGTTTAGTCAGATAGAGTGTGGTGGGAGAAAGAAGATTCGCAAAGAACAAGTAAGGTTGGTGGATGCAGTGGTGGGGATTTCCTACCCCAGACTGACTGACTGCCTGTGGCTGACAGTATTCTCAATGGGAATTGCTTTTCACCTGCTGAGACTCACCACCTTCTCTTCCTGCACCCCGTGGCTCCGGCTGTATTTCCACAATGCAATCGAGGGCAGCACAGGGCAGCATGAGGAAAAAAGGCAATCTGCCTCTCTTTGCCTCATTTGGAGTCTTCCTCAACATGAGTGAAAAAATAGATTCTATATCTTGCAAAGACAGAATGCATCAAAACCAAAATGAATGCAATGGTATCAGTGAATATGTTGTCCAGTATTTCCTGGGGTCTCTCCTTTTCTATTGTTAAAGTCCTGAAAGGCTTAAGCACAGGGACTCAACACATCATGAAGAGTTTTTTTTAGGCTTGATTCTTCTATTGATACTTTTCCAACAGAAAAGGAGAGGCCCTAAGTTGCTTCCTATCTGTGCTGATAGGTAACTGTTGACAATATCAGCGTTATAGTTATAGTACAGAGGGGGTCCCCCTTGGGTCTGAGGGATGGGAATGTCATCAAGTGAATGAAACACCCACCAAAAACATCACAAGGTGGAAAAATAGCCTTGCTCTTATTGTCCCCACTTAGTTAGAATAAGTAAGGCTCCCCCCCCCCTTCTATCTCTGTTTTTGATCACCCCCAACTGAAGAGGTGCTATGACTAAAATCCTCCTTTAAATTCCAGGAAACTTGTGATCATGTGTTAACACAGAAATAAGAAGGAAATATGAATCATAGCCACATTAAATCTGGCGTGACTAGTATTGGCTTATGAAAGAATGCACCCATTTGCGATTCACTAATGCTGACTATGTGATAATGACTCCCACTTGCCTTATTTCACTGCTGAAATTAAACGCTTGAAAATCATTATAAGGCTCTGACTGTCTCAGACATCTGAACTCACTCTGGAGACCAGTGTGCTAGGATGCTGCAGCGATGAACTTAAATGCCATCACTTCTCAGGATGACTACTTGCACTGACAGAGGCAGAACTGTAACCTTGAATAATGAAACATTCATGGAACATGACATGTGTTCACAAGCAGGTCATTAGTCATCCAAAAGTTGATCCCAACCCTCTTCAGTGCTGTGTGAAATGGTCCTGTCACCACCTCTGGAGTTGGATGCGAATCACTTTGACTCCCACGGGTGATCTATGCCAGCATTATCCCACAAGGGTGCTTCCTCTCTCTGTCTCTCCAGCACACACAGATAAAAGATTAGCTCATTTTAAAAGCTGCAACAGTCGACCCAAGCAGTGTTTGGGAGATGTCCTGTGCTGCGTTTTCTCTTTCTAAGGTTTTCTGAAGTAATGATGATGATGATGCTTTGTTAGTGTGTTTGCTGAAGAGCAATCGCTGCTTTCAGAACGATGACTGCAATTACAATACATAAACAGCATTTTGAGTTGGTTCTCATGTCAATGGCAAAGTAAAGATGCTTCAGTGTGATTTCAGTGGAGCTGACTAGGTTACGTGCAGGGACATTATGGCCCACTTTTGTCATCAATAATACAATGCAGTGTGACTCTTCAGGGTAGCAGAGGGAATAGTGATAGCAAACAGCCCACAACTGATTCTAGTGAAACAACAGCAATATCAGAAAAAATGATCATACTGTGGGTTGGTTTTGGGACAATGTGTTAAAATAGTATTATAAACTCTTTATTAAGTGTCATTGCAGAAACCTACAGACATATTATGCCCCAGTTTTTAAGCGTCTATAACTAGGCTTCTGGTAAAGAGCCATATGTCCCATATCCCTCTCCACTGACCTGCTGGTAGTTCTCATCTTCAGGCTGGAAGGTCTTATCAATGGGCTGAAACCTCAGATTGATATGAGGAAAATTGTGAAGCCAGTAAGTCCACCACGGCGCAATGTAATCCACACGATCCGAAGACATCACTGCCCGGAGAAAAAGTTAGGCTTCAGCCTAAATTAGCCTCTCAGTAGTAAAGCAGGCAGTTTTTTCCGCTGCCGGATATTTTAATCAAGTCGCACATTAAACAAAGGCAACGATAAAAGCATGCTCGGTTGTGGAAACACGCTCGACCACACATGAGAGGTGGGGAAAGTCCTGCAAAGGTAAAAGTGTGTTTGCAAAGTGAGCTCCGGTTAAGATTTTTCCCGAGAAAGACCAATAATCACTCTGCGTCCATGTTTCCGTTCCTGTGGACCCACAGATACTATCCGACCGACAGCTGCTCCACACAAACAGCAGACAACACAGTCAGCAGCGTGAACGCGCACTTATAGTAGGCGCAGGACACCAGGGGGTGAGGGGGCGTGCACATTCGCTTTCGTAAATGGTTTCGGAACATTAGTCTGGCAGCATACATCATAAGTACAACTAATTAATTAAATACACAAAGTCAGTTTATTGTAACATCAGCTACATCGATTTTTTTTTAATTATTAACGGCCCCTTTATTCTCTGGTAAATAAGCAACAGCGGTGCCACCTAGTGTTCAATTAAGCCAATTACACAACATGCAGCCCGTGAGAACAGCTGGTGGGTCATTTTTAAAGTGGCTTATATTAACATTTTGTATACTTGTATTTTCTGGTGTACTTCAGCTACAGATGCAGCAAATTTAGATGCTAAAATAATATTTGCTGTATTCATGAGCAGGTTACTTATATTTATTTATGAAACTTTGATGTAATTAAACTAAGTGGAATTGAGCCAGATTCAGCCCAGCTGTCAAATAGCTGTGCTGGTTATATGACTTTATCACTTTAAATGTTTCCAAAATTAATTTTATAGCCATTAAAATTTACAAGTTTACATTTTCTGGGTAAAAATCTTGTATATAGATGTAGTGTGGCTATATGTTGATGCAGACATTGTAACCAAGCAGTCAGTGAAAACCTCTACAAAGATGAAGCTGAAGAAAACAATCAACATCTACAAAGGATGCATTTTATTATTTCGCCCCAAATTGTGCTATAAAGTCATTGCCGCTCATTTCAGATCAAATGCTCCAATGTCCATGTCACACTTGTGGATTATGGTATAACAACACAACAAATCACAGAAGCCAAAGTGATTTTTTCCCCCAGTTTTTTATTACAATTATCTGTACATCACGGATTTACTTCAGCTCCTTCACAGCCAGACCTGTAGAGAAAGAAAGACAAAAGATTAGAAATATTCAGATACACACTTTCTAAAACACAACTGGGAAAATACATTTGAGGCATCACATGATTAAAGTAGTAAGGAGTATTTATATTTTCATCAAAATTTCTCCACTTGCACCAGGTATCACATCTGACCTTTACAGGGAAAGTTATTAACAATTATCATACCGGCAGTATTAAGAAGACGGCAGACTGCCATCAACACGAGTGACAGCAAACTGCAAAGAACCAGTTAATGTGGATCTGCTCTTTGAAGAGCATGAATGTCTCTGTGGCGATTAGAATTTAATTCAGGGTTGTTGGGGTTTTTTTTTTTAATACAAAGAGCTTGCGATTCAATGCCAGTTTCAGTCCTACCAGCTACAGCATGACATGTTACAGAAAATCAGAGGATAAAATGATAGCTCATTATAATTTAAAGTATCACAATTTTTAAAGAAATAATTCTTCAAAAAAAAAAAACTAATCTAAACCCTGATATGCAGCAGAAAATTGATGATATTATTAATTTTAAAATGAATTAATTTGTCTAAAAATGGCTCCTCTGCCATTATGAGGCAAACTTCTTAGCTTACACTATGGTGCAATTCCACCATACACAGACTTTTAGGCACTAACTGCAATGTCTAGACAGGCTGCAATCAAATATGAAAACATTTGAAAACCAACCAGATATCAGAGCAAAGGAACACAACATAAACTGGGAAAGCTCTGCTGTAGCAATCAATTTCTTTGGTTCTTTTTATTATGAGACTTTTTTTTTCCCCCAGTATTGCACTATTAACCCTCGCAATTCGGGGCACTTAAGTATCAGGACCTTCTGTTCTACACATTGTAAACAGAGAATCTGCAGCTGTGCTTTACACACTGAAAAGTCCAGGTCATTTTCCACGAGAACCAGATATCATTAATACATGTGCACACAGACTTTTTAAACGCTAAAGATTCCAGACATTTGTTTATGAAATTAACTACGTTTTATACGTTTCCTTGCAAATATGATAAAGCAGACAACTACTGTGGGCCAATAAAAGCACTAAAGTCCCAGAATATCAAAAAACTTAACTGTATTTTTATGAATGTTCTTCAAAAAGGGCTTATTTTTTAACACTGCAGCCAAGAGAAACAAACCATTAACAATCACTGAACCATGTCTCAATAAGTAAGTTAACTTAAAGGGATGCACCAGCATTAAAAATCTTCAACCCAAAGGTGGCCCAAAACTGTACAGAGTAGTATATGTGCACATATCTTTAAATCAGTGCGATAAAAAGTTTCGTCTGAGTCATTTTAATTCAAAGCCCTTAAATCTACTTGATAAAAATCAAGAGTACATTTTCCAGAAAGCTGTGTTCACTTTACATGCCACCTCTCTTATTACTCACCTGGGGGCAGGGACTGTTTGAGCTTCTCAGCCTTCTCCTTGTCTGTGATGACCAGGGTGTACAGGTACCTGCTGCAGCGCACCTTGAACTTAACATTGTCCTTGTTCTTCTTGATCTTTACGGCTAAAGGAGGAAAGACAAAGCTGTGTTAGCGCCGAGTCTCTTCAAAAGTAAACTCAAACATAATTATTTCTCAAGTCAAACAAACACTAATAGGTGAGAGCTTTAGTTTAATACTTTCCTCTACTGGATCTGCTAATAAAAACAGCATTCTGAACACGTGTTTTTTCATGCCTCAAAAATAGGCTTGTGGGAGGTGACTACATATGTAAGTATGAATGGTCTGTATATTAAATAGCCTAAGACAACACAGAATAACTGCCACAAGCCTGCCAATTACTAAATACTTTTAGTAAGTTTCACCACAATTTATTATTTATCAAAGCCATGGTGATTTTGCTTTGGGGGAAGACCAAAATCTCGCTGAAGAGCACTTTAATTTAGAGGTAACTACATGATAGATGCCGCCCCCCAAAAAAAAATATTTCTAGAGGTTCAAATTTCTTTTTCAACACATTCACTGGACTTTAAAAGGTGCATTTCAATTTACAATGTTAGCATAGAGCTGTCTGTGGCAAGCTGTCACCCACATATCTACCTATTCTTTGGCAAGAAGATTAAATTTCTAGTTGTTAAACATCAAAATGTGATGCCTGTGTGCCTCTTACACTTAGCATCCTTCCTCCTGGCTGTCAGCAGGAAATCTTTGATTTCTTCTATCTTGCGAGGCTACAAATAAACAGAAAAAATGATCAGTCAGGCAGAGCATCAAACTTCACATGCTGATAATGAATCGCTAACGAGTGTTAGTGGACCGGTGGAACTGAGGTTCCCGTTATAAAGTCGAAACCTAGCACTTGGTCCATCATTATTCTCGCAAGAGTGTAAATGCATCACGGGCACATCAGCCTGAGATGTTTGGACTTCTTGCTGTTAGCAAAAAACTCTTTTGGTAGGATGTTGCTAATTGTCAGGCACCCTGTGGCTAACGCAGACCAAGTCTAAGCTGTAGTACTGTAGAAAAGACGCAACTATGATTTTAGTGCCTTAAGCTACTTTCAAGACATTCACTTCTAATTAAAGTAACAAAAACAACAACAACAAAACAATTTCTTATAGGTATTGACTCATGTGTCATTCCTCAACAAACTGCAGCCGGGTGGCCCAGCTTAGCCCCTGAGCGGCATTTTGCTAATGCTAATAGCCAGTGCTAACTACTTTTACAACAACTACCGACTATTAACTGAACTGTAAACACATTCTAAGTAACAACATACACGTATACATGACATACCACCTTATTAAGCACAAATAAGCAACTAACAGATTAAAATGAGATGCAATCCTTACCATGCTGCCGTGTCAGCGGACTGGAGGCTGCGGAAGAGAAAGATCGAGTCAGCTATACAGACGATAATCAATGTACTAACAATAAAATTTCAATCTAATCTTCTACCAATAGAATGAAATAATTATATTTTAGCAAAAGTTGGGTTCGAAATGTTGCTGACAAAGAGGATGGATGATGATTAAAATAGTTATTGTGTTTGTGGTGCAACATGAACTCACTCAGTCGGCCAGAGAGGGGATGAAAAAGGGGCGGGACTTCCGGTTGAAAACGCATTTATATGTCACTACGGCAACTACCGAGGGCCAAGACGAAAAGCGAATCGAATATTGATACAGGAGCCCAGTTTTGCCGAAATTTAAAAGCGTTTGTGTGCCGCATAAATCCCCAAATCGTGTTTTATAGACTTTATTACCATATATTGAATAGTAAACTTAATATAACCCAGCCAAGCATATACTGGTGAATGACAAAAAAAAATGTATGTATATGTCTTTATTTCCCAATAACAAAACAATTGCCAATTTCTTTTTCCAGCAGGACTTTGCATCTGCCCACAATGACAAAGCTGCTACTAAATACTGGCCATGATATTACTCGGCTTGATTGGCCAGGTAACTCGCCTGAATTAAAACTCATAGAGGCTCTATGGGTTATTGTCAAGAAAGCTGAAGGTCGCAAAGTAACTGTTGGTTTTATTAGCCAGGAAAGGGAATTGAATGTACCAAAAATGAAAAAAAAAAAATGGCAAAAAACCACCATACCTCAAACAGGTTTCCAATGCAAGAGTATAAATAAGCTTATAAAACTGCATGTACATAAAATTTAATATATCCTCTAATAATTCACTGTTGTAGTGTGCACAATTCATTTAAGCCTGGTGAATGTCAGTGATTTGTTGCCTATGACACAGAACCACAATATGAATTTATTAATTTGCTGCTCAACTGCACACAGATTATACACATTAGACCTTTTCATGAATACAACATGCATCACACAGGACATAATGTGCTGAGAATTCCTCACAGGCCAGTAAAGCGGATTATGTATGAAGGTTATTTCTCACCCTCTGTGTGACCCTTTTGTTATCCTGCAGATCACACACTGTGTTTCACTGCGCACTTTCAGCCAAGTATGAATAAGCTTTGATGGATGCACTACAGCGTGCCTCTGAATAGAAACCACTGGCTAGGACCAGTGTGTGGAAGAAATTATGTTTGCGCTGCCAGAAAAAAGCCATATCTCCAAGATGTGGACATGATCACACTAGGTCTCCTCTGCAGACCTGAGACTGACCTAGAACATGCATTGTGTTTATCACTTCAGGAGCAGAATCATGTTGTAATGGTCATGCATTCATTTCTACTAATTATGTAAAGTGAACCTGAAATTAATTCAGTTAAATGCTGTGGATATATTTCCACATAATTAGCATAAAGGTAAAGTGTTAGTAAAGCAGGAAAGACACTGGGCTGCAAACAGGATTTTGAAATTGAGTTCTAAAATGAAAAATCCCAAAATAAAAATACAGAATCGATGTTTATTTAAGTTTAATCTCCCTAGAAGTTGCCAGGGATTTTTTCTGTACCTAAAAATGTATTTTCCACCTGTAATAGTGGTCAACCCTTTATTCAATACATTTGAGATTAGAGAAAAATTGTGAACACAGTGATCCAGTCAAGTGTCAAGAAAAATCTTTCTTGTGTATCAGTTAAAAAAGCCCCAAAACAACCCCTTTCCTTTTCTACTGAGCAGCTCGAAGCCCCTCAGTCACACCAAAGAAAGCTGCAATCCACTACCCTGCATAAATGTTAAATGTTCAATAACTTCTCAACACTGCTAGGAATATAACTTACAAACATTCATGGGAAAATAAATCGAATCAAACTCAGTATTTTTTTTTCTTCTTTTGTCCAAAATGACATACAAATAGAAACTTCAATGGTCTGAATTTACCTTGTTTACTATATGGACAAATATCAAGCAGAAAAGGACAGAATTTCCCGGCCATATACCGTATCACTGAGCTGATTCAAAAGTCAGCCATCACTTCATAACTTCCATTCAGAGTCTTTACTGTATAGACATATGTTTTCATAAGTGACACTTCCATAAACTGGATTTTACCAAGCAAAAGAAATAATTGTATAACTCAAAATGCAAGGGTGAAAAAAAACTTCATACGTTTTTTTCTCTCTCTGTTTTTTTTTTTCAATAAAGATGCATTCACACATGCAGCAAGTCGCGTCAGAGCCCCAGATTTATCTAACAGTTCAAGGTCAGGCAGACTGTGGGTGAGGAAATATTGCTGTCTATAACGGGAGATGATAAGGAACCAAATAAGACTGTATTTAATCCAATTAGAGATTTCCTTTCACTACTGAAATAGTTTGCGCGCTTCAAATTGAGTTGTGAACTGTGAATGTTCTGCCTCTGTCTATCTGTTCATCTGTTCTAATACGTCTTTCTAGCCCTTTCTCTCATTCTCATCTTAAACCGTAGATACAGAGAAGCCGTTAACCCGGAGGTCATTTTTAAAGCAAGTAGGCAACAGGCATTATATCCTCTTGTATGGCTGAGTTTTTCAAACTCAGTTCAGGGCCAAGCATTGCGAGGGAACTGAATGTTTCTTTTGAGAAGGGTGGGAAGAATTACATGTATAATACAATTTGTTTCCTGAAAAACTGCTGTGTTGGGCTTTTGTATTATACGCTCTGGCAGGTATTTCTTTGGTTTCAGACTTACACTAAATTTAAAAAAAAAAAAAGAGGGAGAGAGAGCAAAAAAGTAAAAGATTTGCTTGAGACATCTTTGAAACTGCACACATTACAACCAACCTGCTGACTTATGAGTTCAATTATCTTTTGCACTCAAGACAGATAAACCCAATGGGTACCAGAATAATAAGCCTTTAAGTATATAAATGGTTCACAGTGAAGAAATTCCCATCTATTATCCTTACAACCTGACAAAAATGATTCCATGTATTTCTACAGCAGTAGAGCATAGTTAATGAGCCAATCCTGCGATGGTGAGGTGTGAAACACATTTCTGCTCAGTGGGTGTCAATTTACTTTACCTTCTTGTGTTCAAGGCAGTGTTTGGCTTTGTAATTTATTATGCATGTACTTTGTTTCAGAGGAAATGGTAGTGGCAACATACTCCAGCAGTACATATTTCCCATAGTTGTCTTACCTGGAGGTGAGTTCATAAGTGGGCTGAACTGTATTCAAGTTTAAAATGTGCACAAGCCAAGGATATTTGGTCAGTGATGCTTGAGTGACACCTCAGTCTGTTTCCATTGCTCTGACTTGGCGTTAATTCATAAAGACAGGAAACACCTCATCGGCCGTTTTTAATTAACCTACTATATACCTGTCTGCCCGTGTTCACAGGCCATATCCACCCAGATACTCGATCAGCGCTTGCACTATTGGAGACGTTTCACTCAGGGTTTAAAATTTTCACGAGTCTCTTGTCAGTCAAAGTTGGAGATGAAGTGCAGTTTGTTTTAGCAAGTGTTTTTAGTGAGGGGGCTCAGTGACTCTGCAGCAGATACTGGTTAGAGAACTACACGGACACTACACAGTACAAGCTTTGTCCCACATCTGTGTTGTTTTGTGTACTTGTTTGTAGTCCCAAACCATTTTTCCACAGTGAAAAAGGAACTAAAAACAGTTTATCTCAGCAAGGATTTCTACTCCTTGCTGCTGACAAGATAATACACCATCTTTTTTTTTCAACTGACAGCCAGTCACTCTGCTCCTTGGGAAGCTGAGGAGATGTAAGAGTACAAGACTCATTCTGTAGCTTCAGTAAAATGATGTCCGTGCCATTCACAGGAAAGATCATAAAAAAGGTGTCCTTGTTGAGGAACTGGTGTATAGAAAATATGAAAGGTGATACACAGATGGACAAAGTGTAGTTTGTCTTGTTATACATTGTACCGTTAATGCTTTAGTTTAAATAGCATTACACTTTAGTGGACAAGACTCAGAAAAGACCAAAAAAACTTAGTGATCAGGAAACATTTCATGCTTTACGTGTGCTGCATAAAAATGCGTTCGCAGATAAACAAATTCTTAATTAGACCTGATATGAACCTGATTATTATAACTCTTCATCTTTATTTATTTCATGTTTAATTTTTCAACTGAAATTACTGTAATTTAAACCTTTTTTTTCCTGCTTTATCTGTTATTATGCGGACACATTTGTTTCATCTTTGTTAAATATTATTTCAATTTCTTTCTTCTCTCTCGACTTGCTCATGAACAATGAAAATCAATAGACTTATCTGGGATTTGTATGCTCTAAAAAGCACCGACAGCATCAATTACGCATTATTTCTCAGCTGCCATCTCTGATGTAACACGCACGTCATGCATCATCATTTCAAAATAATAATAAGTTCTTTATAAAAGAGAATAAAGTTGATGAAATAAAGTTTGAGGCGCCTAAACTGAATATTAACGCCGTACGTTTATAATATTTCTTTATATTGTGACTGCATTTTATCAAAGCCTATGTGCCAGTGTGCATGTCCTATTTGGTATTTATTTAATTTTCATCACAACCTCTGTTGTTATTTCTTTTTTTTTCCCATCCCTGTTGAATGTCCGCTTGTGTAAGGGGTGGATGTAATAGTGTAAGGTTACGTAGGGAGGATCAGCTCATCCACAGAGATTACAACAAATGACCATGCCTGGTTTAGCTAAAGCTCTTTTGCACCGGTATGATCTTTATTCCATTTGCTTGCACAGCAACAAACATGATCCCCTGTGCCAAGCCGCTTGTAGAAACTCAGCTTGACTCTAAATGCTGATTTTTTTCCATTCCCCAGTTGCAGTTCTGGGTTTCTTACAATAGGGGGCAGCCAGTAGTTGATAATGTCGAGTTGATCAGCATCTCATCCTCAACATTAGGAGACGCTGTGTATTAAGGTATTGCCTCCAATGGTCTTCAGTTCTCTGTATAAGGGAGAGATTGCAAAGGTTAATGTTAATTCTTTTCATTTTCTCCTTTTATTATGCATGAATACAAATTCATTTAATTATATAAGATGTCAAATGAATCAAAGTTACCTTTAGACATCCTTACAATCTTCTGCAACATAAGACAATCGTCAAGCACAGCTGAGGGCACTGCTTATTAACACATCACGCTTTAATTGTGCCTCATGATATGATATCCTTATACCTTCCCCCAAATCTTTGGCAATGTGAATTTTTATTTGCCTTTTTCATAACTTGTGCTCGCACAAATTACTATCTCACCTTAGAAAGATGGATTCAGATA